CTGATGAAACTGCTGGTTGCAATTTGATTAAAAGAAAGTCTGTCCACAGCCGCTAAACGGCTATACATTTCGGCTTGAGTTTTCTTTTCGATGTAAGATACTATTAGGGACTAATTTTTTTGGTCGCTTGACTTTGGGGGATGCCGAAGATTTATCATTATTAGCAGCTGCATTTTCTATACCGTGTTTAACTCTCAAGTGGTACCAAAGACTAGTGTAAGACCTTTTGGCTGTTGTGCTGAGAAAAGACTTGTCACATTGCATGCAGGCCACGTTGTCCCCCTCTTTTCTGAAATGTTTCCAGATCTCGTTGGTTGACATATCAAGATTAATTAGTTTTCCGAGACACAACAGAAAACAGATAACAACTGATACGTGTAACGTAATCAATCAACGATTTAAGCAAATGAGCGACCCAGGCAAGTTAATCATCGGCATTTCTCAGGGGAGGGGCGTGGAGTGTGGACTGTGCAGGAGTGTATTGTATGGTTATGGTGTGTACTGTGTCGGGTTCAAATTATTACCTTATACGGTTGTAACTGAATTGATAGCTTGAAGTGAACAGCTTATCTGTAATAGGGTGGGGCGAAACTACGGGATACTTATTACAGATTTACCGTTTAAACTTTAATTCCGTTGGATTCAAATATGCAACTATCCCATGAAATATGAATACTTTTACATAGTACATACCTTGTTTCACCAATATCTTATGATCAATCTAGTGAAAATGGGAGGTAAGAATCTGCGAGTTAGCTGTAAAGTCTCGAAAATTCCGAAATTATTTTTGAAAAGAAATTTCTGAAATTATCGGTTTATCGGTCAGAAATTATCGCCGATAACCGATAACGATTTTACTACGAATTATCGCCTATAATTTTATCGCCGATATTATCGATTGCAAACCCTATCATGCACGTGATTCTTTACGGTCTGGACATCCAGAAATCCTTTTAAGCACCTCTTTAGAACCAAGTCGAGGAGATGCGAGGGGTCCCAGACTTGCATCTTTGTGACCTTTGTGTTATTAACTACCGCAGGAGGAGTGTCCAGTTGCTGGAAGATGGCTTCCACAACCTGCGAAGATGTTTAATAAAATCAAGCTTTTGATTTTAATGTATTATGTTAGTATTATTATAGGAATGATCGATCACACATAAAACTAAAAGTTGGACGGATACTTTTTGTTTGCTTTTAAATAACACTTTACATTACACATACATTTATACTGATCCCAAATCGAATATATACATAAAATATAATCTAAGCTGGTAGACTTGTAACAGATTCTCGTCACCACTTAATATTAGAGTACCAATATAGTACGTAATGACATCTCTCTGCTCGATGATCATTATTTCTCTCCGTGCAGTTCTTGCTGCGACGCGAGACAACTATAGGGTTCCACAACCAGGAGGAACGTATGCTCGACGAGATATTTCGTTGAAATAGTCCCAGAAAGCGCTTCAAGATCCACGTTAGGCCACGAAGAAAGTGTACCGACATCAAGATGTCACTTCTTAGCATGTTGTTTGGATGTCCCAGTGCTTTTGCCTGTGTATATTGGTTAGTGTAGTTGGCAGCTATCTCGACGAGATATTGCGTTGAGATAATCCCGGAAAGCGTATTGACATGCAGGCTGACAAAAATAACATTATGTTATGGCAAGGTTGCGGACTGTGTACAAGTGCTGGTGGTTTAAATTCTTGTGATGGTGGATTTAGCTCGAACAATGCTGGTGGAGAAGAATCTTGTCCTGGCGGCAGTGACTGCATCTTGAATTATACTGAGCAAGTCAATGACAAAGAAAAGAAGCTCTTGCGTGTTGACAAATGAATTTTACAGTCCCTGATCATTCTGAAATGATAAAGAGCAGCGCTTCAACTATGGGGGTTTTGTTGCTAAGAAACACTATTTGTACTACCTGGATTCGACAATTACTGGTACAAGGACGGTACATAAATAAATATTAAATAGGCTGACTAGGGGCCATTTAATTCTCCCTCTATCGACAGGAAATTAATAATAATAAAAATAGTTTTCAAATGCTCAGTAAAGAGCGTCAAATAAAATTAATTGTAAGCTTAGCGAACCTTTTTCTTTTTCTGAAAATCTTTAAGTATCTTGAATACTCAGTTAACCACCACTATCTGATCTATCAAGTATTCATCCTGATCCTCCCCCGACGACCGACAAGTCATGCATTCTCTGCCCGGGAAGTTTTTTCTTTTGCAAATCTTTCAAGATTTTTAAGATAAGTGTTACTAAAACTTGTGTCTGTTTTAAAAGGTCCTCCTCCTGTGAAAATTCCTCCACTGTTCCTAATAGGAAGTTGTTTAAGAGTCAAATTCTATGATCGTAAAATGTCTTTCCGATAAAACATGAAATTGCAGACGCTGGCATTCATTATTATATGTAAAATATGTAAATGGTAAATCGCCAAAGTGTGAGTTTTAAAGGCGATTCTTTCTTCTTTTTTGGAGGTCTTCGAGAATTTTAAAGACTAGTGTTACCACTACTTCCGTTTCTTTTATAATGTCATTATTTTGGGACAAGTCCTCCACTATTCCTAATAGGAAGTTGTTTAAGCGTCAAATTCTATGATTATAAATGTCTTTCCGATGAAACATGAAATTGCAGACGCTGGCATTCATTATGTTAAATATGTAAATGGTAGATCGCCAAAGTGTGAGTTGAGGCGAACATTTTCATTCTTCTGTACATCCTTAAGTATCTTAAAGACAAGAGTAACTACCACTCTCGTCTGGAACAAAAGGTTCAAAAGAGGAATTAGTTAGAGAGAAGAGATGATGCCGGTAAATGAACTTTTCACTTCTTACAACACACGGCCAGGTCTTTCTCCAGGAAATTTAAGTGAGATGAATGCACTCGACAGCGAGACTTCCGACGTCTGTAACACGAATAAATGTTGCAGCACTATAGTTTAGAGTGGTAAGATATTTTAACATACTTTTGTATCTACCTGAGCGATTTGCGTGTTATATTATTTTAAATGTACAAGTTAATTACAACTTAACCTTCCTGGGTAATTGAACTTATTTTAATTCTCCAAGAAACTTCTAGACTGTATCCTAGTTCCACTAGATTATGCGGAAACTCCATTACCACCTCAGTGTTACCTTTAACCAGATACCACAGTCAGCAGGTGGCTGAATAAGGGGTGGTGGTGTGCTCCATTACCACCTCAGTGTTACCTTTAACCAGATACCAGTCAGCAGGTGGCTGAATGGGAGGTGGTGGTGGCTTATTGACTTTATCATCAGCTACAGTGATATTATTGTAATCATTACCTTAAAAACAACCATAGAAAAACAGTATGAGATAGTCCCATAGAAAATTATTAATTGTCGAATTTTGGCGGCAACTCAATGGCCCTTAACACGACTGGAAGAACCTTATTTTCAAGTTAAGGTTGTTGAGTTTCGCATCTTTTACAAACGTATGAGGGTGGTAATCCATTCCTATCTTGATTAATGCTGTCACTACATCCCAATTCCCAACCCATGTAGTTATAGCTCTCATCATTATCTCGCTGAACCACTTCCCTGGTTGCTCCAGCAATTGGTGGCTACTTACGGTCCTCACTGAATATTAGTTTCTTAAACCTTTAACAACTACAGAATAAATAGTATGAGATGGTCTCGTAGAGAATTATTAATTGTAGAATTCTAAGCAAGTATAAACTTGTAAGAATGTCTTATAAAATAACAATGCTGCACTTCCTCGAGTGTAGCCTCTTTTCCCAAGCTTCGCTGCAGCTTTTCTTTCTCGAATAAATTTCGTTTTTGGGGAAAACTATTATTGAGTTATTTTTTAACTGATCTCCGCACTCAAGCGTCATCATTCTGACTGGCCGGGCGGGTCTTCTTATGGCCTCAATTCGGACTTTCGCCCCTCTTGGTTCTATTATTCTTTTGAGGGACCGCGGTGGTTCTTCGCCCTTGGCCACACGCCGTTGTCCAGACCCCAGCATGACTCCGAGCAATACCGAGGACAGGTAGAAATAGATTTTCCTACTCGACATGGACAGGTCGTTGAGCACCTCCTCTTTAGACGTGAAGTTTAGGTTGGTGTCCATTTGCTAATTGGTTAATGTTTTAGTTGCGATATGGGAACCAGCGATAACAATTTATATATAGTATAATCTAGTGTGATCTGTTATATAATTATGAAAATAGTCTTTTAACGACTGGTTTTTCTATAGTAAAAGAAGAAAAGTAAACAACGCTAACAATCAAGTGTTGTTGATGAAGTGTCCAAAAGACAGCAAAGCCAAAAGAATAACACATCGGATTCGTAAAATAAAGAGAGATTGTTATGAATTACCGAAAAGAAATAACCAAATACAGTAAAAAGAAAAAGAAAAAAAAAGAAAGAAAATAAGTCCGATGTGTTTAGTAAATATGCGTACAACAACAACAAGTACAATGCGTACAACAACAAGCGCGCAAAGGATAAAAAGAAAATAAATAGATTATAACAACGAAACGATTGAAGATACAAGAAAGAAAAATAAATATGAAAATGAAAGATGCATACAAAATTTTCCAGGACATTTCCAATTAAAATAAACCAAATTATTCTTTTCTACCAAGCAACGGTTCCGTCCATACTGGTAAAGGCGCTCACTGTCTGATTTTTAACCCCTGGTTCATGACAACCATAGTCACTTGGTCACATAATCCGATCATACCAAACACCACCGCCACATCTCCTTTACTTCATCTCCCTTCTCTCCCCAACAGGAGGACCCTTAAACTGTTAAGAGGTTCCTCCAGGTCTCACTGCCTCCCTCAGTTTGAATCTCAAATAGAAATGATTAAGAAAACAAGACGCCCCTCTGGGTCGCTGTCTTGTTACAGTCCAGCAGGTATTGAGTGTAACAACTCGCTGCTTCTGGAGTGATATGACTATTACAATTCCTTTTCTCGCTTTCGCCTCAAATTATCTGTAGTTTTAACAGTATTTGTGTATTTCAGAGATGAGCGCGAAGGAGGGTCTGCTACTTTGGTGTCAGAAGAAGACGGCGCCTTACAAGAACGTCAATGTTACTAACTTCCATACAAGGTCTGCTCACTCTGAACTGCTTTAAATTTAATGCCAATACAAATCTTTTTAAAATTATATTCACACTGACAAATTGTATATAACTGACATTTCATGACCCATTTTCACTGATTTGACCTCTATAATTCACCCCCAGTTTCAAGGACGGGTTAGCCTTCTGTGCTCTGATTCACCGACACAGACCGGACCTGATAGATTACAACCATCTCCGTAAGGACAATGCTGTGTACAATCTACAGTACGCTTTTGAGGTGGCGGAGAAGGAGCTGGATATCCCTATCATGTTGGACGCTAATGGTAAATTATAGTTGTTACAGTAGTAGTATTAGTAGCGGTACAGTAGTTGTAGTAGTTTCTGTGGCGAGTAGGTACAATGGCGACCGGCGCGGCTGTTACAGGGCTATTAGCCGGCTGTGACGCCCTCTAACAGCCGTTTAATACTAATAGCCGTAACAAAACACAACTAAGCGTAGGCTAATAGCCGATCGGCATTGTACCTATTTGCTTTTGTTGTAATATAGCAGTTGTTGTACTAATGCTGAACTTTTCTTTAATCAAGTCTATTTCAGTCGTCTAAGCTTAGAACCGTTTTCAAAAATAATTACAGATTAGTAAGAGTACAGAATTATAAAATAACACTCCCACTCCGTGCTACTATATAAAATATATATTATATATATACTCTGCAATATCACTCCCACTGTGCAGATATCGCCAGCACTATGAGACCAGACGAGCGCGCTATAATGACCTACGTTTCCTCGTACTACCACGCCTTCGCTAGCTCTCAGCAAGCTTCTCAAGCTGCAAACAGGATCTGTAAAGTACTCAATGTTAACCAGGAGAACGAGACTCTGATGGAGGAGTACGAGAGTCTGGCTTCAGGGGTAAGGAACTTAGTACAGCATTAACTAAACAAATGAGCTCTTCTTCCAAGGTGTTCTCTTTATTTCCCTTTCACACTGTATATACAGGGAGGGGGGGGGGGCAAAAGTCAGTACCCATACGTTGGGTGGGGGGTACCAATGGCATAAATGGCATAATGGAGAATTGGCCAATAAAAATTTCCATTTATGCCATAAAACGTATGCCATTTATGCCATTTTTGATATAATACATTTCTATTTTCTTTATTTGTCATATGAATCTTTAACGATCATTCCAAGCGTTATAAAGCATGAAAAATGTCTCTTATTCAAGTACTAATAATAATTTGCGAATTTAAAGTCAAATATGAAGACCTAAATTCATGGCATAAATGGAGAATTGGCCAATACAAATTTCCATTTATGCCATAAAACGTATGCCATTTATGCCATTTTATGCCATTGGTACCCCCCCCCCCCCCGTTGGGTCTTATACCACCGCCGTGTTTTCTATTAAGAGTACTGACTTTTTCCTTGATCTGTAAAATATTTCAGTTATTGGAGTGGATAGAACACATGATACCGTGGATTGATCAAATGAGGGAACAACGAGCCAGTAGTATTTCTGAAGTTAAAGCTAGACTTGAAGAGTTCCGAACTTACCGGTGAGTATAGTTGTTGCTTCCGTCTAGTAATGCTGGGGAATCTATATCGTCTTCCTTTTTAAATGTCACTGTACTTAGGATTAAAGGGTTTTGTTAGTATTCTTTGCCGTTATCTTCCGTTGTTCCGTTATAACATGTCGGTAGATAATATAGTATAATACTATGTAGATAACAGATATTTATATTACATTAGATAGTTCAGCTGTTCAGAGCTTGAAATATTGGATGCTAACTAAACTCTAAATAAACTTTAATTTTTCCTGAAAAGCTAAATTAACTCTAAACAGGTTTCCGAATGGGACATCAGGGTAATTATTTGTAAAAATCGTAAAATTGATTGTCTTTCGTACCTCTCCCTTGCCCAACACTTGATTCACAGTGCGTTCTTATGATTTGATATATTTACTAGTTCTACCCAACTATCACTTTACACCGCTCTCAGATCACATTTCTGAGCTTTAGATTATGGTGACATTCTTTAGCTAGATATAAAAAACATTGTCCCGAAAATATAATCTAGCACAGCAGCCACCAGCTGTTGAAAGAAAAGAAAACATACGTCTTACAATGATTGAACTATTTTCTTGAAATATTGGTTCAGATTTCAATGAACACTGATCACTTTATTTGAGCTGTCATTGACATTGTATACTGTAATATTATTAACACTGTAGTCATTGTAACACATTATAATATCCCAACATCAACTCTTTAAGCTGTAATCTAACGTTATCTCCAGATTGACTGTAAAGCCTCCTAAGACGGAAGAGAAGGGGAAACTGATAACAGACTACAACACACTGCAGACTAAGTTACGGCTCAGTAACAGACCTGCTTTCTTACCTTCTGAAGGAAAACTTATCAATGTGAGATTGCTAATAGTTTTACCTAAAATGTCATATTGTATTCCATTATACTTACCGTGGTCCGTGCTAACTTCAGTTTCAGTTAGTACCCAACTATTTGCTGTTTCCACTATCTAACCAGGTTGTGTGTTCAGGACATTGAGAGAGCCTGGGATAACTTGGAGACCACCGAGAGAGGCGTTGAACAACATCTCATGTCAGAACTCATCAGGTACGATACAGTTACTATCTTATTTCAACAACCACTATTTGGGGTTGTTGCTTGGTATTAACAATCGCTGTTTACGATAACAGTTCTTACTATTTATCTATTCCTTCTAGAATTAAAATTGTATGAAACCCATTACCCACACAGTACTTCTCCCTGATCACTACTGACTACTGGCTACTGACTACTGACCACTGACTACTGACAACTGACTACTGACCTATGTTCAGAATCTAACGTGGAAAGTGTTTTTAAAACCCAACAGAAGATCAAAGTGTTTTACTTTTTACTTAACGTGAGTGGTAATATATTATAAATATCTCCGGGATTTCGACGCGGGATCATATTATCACTCAGCCCGGCCCGCTGTTAGATAAACATCTCAAGGTGATATCATCCCGCCCCGGAAATTTGTATAAACCCGGCCCGCTTTTTAGTCGTAACTGATGTTTATCATTCAATTCTCCGACTTACAATAATCAATGATACTGCTGATTAGAACTCGATAATAGTAGAACAGTTAGACGCGCGATCACGTGGGCGCGTCACGTGCGTACCACGTGCCACCAATAGCATACGCCGAGTCTATACCACGTGACACGAAAGCGCACCACGTGATATGAAACATCGTAACCGTCCACTTCTTTTACACGCAAATTCCTGGGAACGTTGCCAAAGCAGCTAATTCTTGGAATTTCTCCAACGCGTGGCGTAAGAAGTTGGCGACTAGCCAGCTACCCTTGTCCGTACCCTAAAAATAGTATTGTTTTGCTTGCTCTCCTTCCGGTATAACTTCAATTGTGCTACTTAATCTTAATTTACTACTGTTAGTAAGTTATCGTATCACTTGTTATCACCATCACAAATAGAAATGAAAATATTACTAAAATCAGACCCGTATTCCGAAATAAAAACTATTTTATCACTCTCTTCTAAAGTATAAATCCCTTGTCGAAATCGCCGGAGATAATTATAATCCATAAACACTTCACGCTCAGGGCTAAATAAATGTAATCCCTCAGCTGGTGCTTCGGGATTACATATTAACACAAAACTCGTGCGCTGCGCGCACTCGTATGTGTTTATCAGATCATCCCGCTAGCGCGGGATGATCTGTTATATAAACCCTTTGCGTGGCGGGTTTATGTTATTATGTATAACAATATACAGTCCGTGCCAAGTTTGTGCACTTTTCCGGGTTGCTCTTCAAAAGATGGACTTAGTAGATTAAAAAACTATAATTTACAGGACAATTAGGGTGTGTCCCTTAAACTTGTAGATATTTTTGTGAACAGTGTTATTACCAAGGTTACTGTACACCGGTACACGAGTACGCCGAGTGGGGTACACACAATATTTAACCTCAACCTTCAGAAAATTTAAATAGGCTAGAGTACTAACCCAGTACATAATGTCATTGCAACCTCGCCCTGTCAGACTGCACCCTATCCCTTGAAACTAAGCCACACAGCCATGATGCTGACTAAGTTGTCCCACTTCTCACATCGGTCAAGAGGAAGGCTGAAAACAAACCCTGCCGCTGACTTAGAAGTCCTTGCAGTTTCTTAAACAGAAGTGAATCAGATGCTCCCAACTATCGAGTTCCTCGTTTGAGTTTTTCAGCGAAGTAGAGCTACAGCCTCCCGATCTACCCTATGAATGAGCACTATGAAATGATCTTACACTTCAGCTTTTGATTCATTTCTATCCCAGTCGTGAACTGAACAGAACTACCCCTAAGGCTTACTGCGGTACTGACTACTGATTGGTACTGCACTGTGTTGAGGCTTACTCTCTTGGAACTCGATACAGGAAATAAACTGCACTTGCTGGCAAAACTTCAACATTTTACAGCTTTGTTCTCGCCAACGTTGTAGGGGGACCATGAGTCACCTTTAACAAACTGAAACTGTAGATTTACTATTGATCCTATTGCCCTTGTTGATCAGAGGAAAGTTGAGGTATTGGAGGATTGGAGGAGAACATCAATTCAATGCCCAATGGTCACGTGCAGCACCAGATGGGTTGTCAATAGCAAGGGGGTTATAGTTATTATGAAGGAGCAACTCCAAGATACAATTGACGGTGATCTTGATAATACAGTGTGCAGGTCTTGCTACCACATGGACTTGTAACCAGGTTAAATAAAGGGCTCTGTATTATATACCCCCCTCCCTATAATGAATTATGTTGTGCCGCTGTTAGGAGAAGGGACCTGGCTTGGAGCTGGCTTGGAGCTGGCTTGGAGCTGGCTTGGAGCTGGCTTGGAGCTGGCTTGGAGCTGGCTTGGAGCTGGCTTGGAGCTGGCTTGGTGAGTTGCAGTTGTTTGGAGAACACGTTCCTTGACGCGCGTGTTTTTACAAGCTCTGTTGACAGACTTTGTCAGTGCTAATAACCAATTCTTTAATCTTAGTGGCTAGTATTTGGGACAAAGCCAATATCTTATATTCAATATAATATATTATATATTGTATAGTGGTGTTTTCCATTCTACTTTTCATTCTAATAAACCAGACTTCCTCGATAAATTGTGATAGACATAAGAAAGCCATTAAGGCGTATAAGGCTGTCATTTCAGCTTCTACCGTTCTTTGCGTATTCCCTAATATTGTTTTTGGTATTTACATGGTATGTGAAATATTGTCCAATCAAAATCGCAATAACATATCATCAGTCTGCACTACAAACAAATACGTGGCAGAGAGGTTCCTCTAACTTTGTACTTTTGAATCGGATATCTTTGATTTGAGTCCATTTGTCAATTATCCTGTTTATTTTTACAAACTGTTTCCTATTTGATGTAACTCTTGTGTCTTGATCCTATTAATTAACTGTTGATCTTGCTACTAGATTGAACATCGTTTCTTTCGTTCCTCTCTAGCAGCAACATTGAGTAAAATAATTATGATTATATTTAATCTGCATATTTTGTTATCAGTACTAGTAACACGATAAGAGCAAGCTGTGTGGAGATATTTTAGTTAGATGTCGTTTAGAACACGCCCCTGTAAACTGTAAAGTCGACTAACGTTGACACTAGCACTTGTACAGCTTCTCTTGGCAGCCAAATGTTTGTAAGTTACTTTTTACAATCCACTGCTTTGGTGCATCATGTGTAGTTCACCCTATCAGCAGCTTCTTCTTTGTGAGTTGTCAGATTAATTACTGCTGTTTAAAGTAGTATTAGTAGTTACAGGAGAGTAGATCTTGCGGTCAAATTTCTCTTTTGTCAACAAATTTGAACAATAATCGTCAGGGAAATTGTTGAATTTTGATTTGGTCAGGCTTGTCTTTGTTCTTTGAAATTCTGTATTGTTCTAAAAAATGCAGCCGAATTCCACACGATTATTATCGAAGAAGATCCAGTGTATCAGCTATATCTAGACTCAGTTTTTGTTCCTCAATTAACTCCCAAATTCCGCGCCCGCCCATCAATCCGCTAATTACTCCGGCCTGGCACTGCTATTGTGTTTAATTACCCTGCACGGACAATGTCACATTGCCCGTCATCAGGAGTGTGCCAACTTGGCCAGCGTTTCCTACTGTTAACCAGTTTCCAAACCCATTTCAAACGACACCATTTATCTTGCTTCAGTAGTTGAGTAAAGGTGCCCTTATAAGCGTATACAACCTTACAATCGCCCCAACAACTAACCTCTGCTCACGTCACTACGCGGCAGTGCGCCGTGTAGAAGCACATTCCGTGCATAACACACATAGTACACATAGTACACATAGCACTGGCGCAACATTTCTCCCGTTATTTACTGTGCACACGCTGCTATCCTGGTAAACATAATGGCTAATATTAGTGATTATAAACTGCCTGTGTTTTGTGTATTGATCATCAAGCTCACTGTTTTGTATTATTATATATTGTCATAGTAGTAGTAGTAGTAGTAGTAGTAGACCACTTAGTACTGTTATTACAGTGTATTTATTGGGCCTCATTAGGGTGATCTAATTCTAAGAATTAAGTTGTTATTTTGTGATGACTTATATTTCCGACTACGGCCTCACTCTACGTCTCTACGATACGATGCGTTTTGTATTATTGCAATAAGTGAAGTGAAATTATCAATTTGCATTTAAGTGAAATTGAATGGTGATGATATTGTTAGTCCTTAGTCCTACAAAAGTTTGCAACTGGACCCTATTAATAGCTGCTCTACTTCTATGATATAATACTCACATGTCAACCGTTGACATGTTCTCAACATTCAACTTCGCCAACTTTTGATTTTGCTCGTAATATTCCGAGATTTTGATTTAGGACAGTAATACCAGACGAGACAGTGTCACATCAATGAAGCTGTCGTGATTTAAGGCCAGATGCAGAGGGGGGGGGGGGGGGGGGGGGGTAAAAGTCGATTTTCTAGTTATCACATATTTGATTAGAGCTGCTGGAGACAAACAAGAGGACCGAAATCTGACCTTGCGTTTTTTAGATATCGCGCGCCAAATATTGAGGTTTACATGTAATTACATGTCAAACTTAAACTTAAACTGTAAAAAGTTAAAACGCTCTAAGTTGAGAAGACTGGCCACACCCAGGAGCTGAAACTTGGCACATGTGTTCCTTAGACTGTTTTACACAATTCTATTGTACAAAATTTTGATATTTGCTTCTGTTCTTGAGATATGAGGTTAACTTTACCCCAAATTCGACAGTTTTTCGACAGTTAACCTCATAACTCAAGAACAGAGGCAAATATCAAAATTTTGTACAATATAATTGTGGGTGATAACCCAAGGAACACCTGTGCCAAGTTTCAGCTTCTGGGTGTGGCCAGTATTCTCAACTAAGGGACGTTTGTATGAAAAAAACTGTTTTGAGTAAAAAGAGTTTTGGTGTTTTTATTTCACTGCCAAAATCTCAAATTGTGGATTATTTTCCGTATTTAGTAGCGTCCGCATACAATTTTTGCTTTAAAGTGGGAAGATGGTTATTGAGATACTTTATGTTGGGAAAATCAATATCATAAACCAAAATTTGTCTAAAAATGAGGTTAACTATCACGATATTTTGTAGTAGTAGTAAAAATATGATTGTTAACCTCGCTATAGACCATATAACAATGGGATTGGTTTATCAATATATTTGTATACATGTAATGAAACATTTGCCCAGTGTAACAATTAAGTTTTTGAGGTTAACATGTGATTGACTGGCCCGATATTCAACAAATGAGAGGTTAACCTCATTTTAAAGCTATTTATGGGTGAACTCTTCTACTTATATATGGTCAGTTCTAATCACCTTTGTCTCATGATCATATTTGAGGCATTGGAATACAAATAGATACCTCACTGCGATATTGTGGTACATAACAAAAATAAGAATCTTGTGTAAATAATTCTTAAACTACCAAATGATATGGTTAACCTCATTTTCGACACTTTCTCGAGATAAAATGAAGTAAATCAGCACTACATCTATTAGGAAATTTGTATGTCGTAATCTTACGATAGAAATAACAACTCTATCATCTAATCTATTTTCGCTATACCTAAATCAAGAGGTTAACCTCATTTAATCACGTTTGGATATTACTTTTTCTGATAATTATGAACCTACAATTTAGAGTTTACATTTGCTGACCGAAAAAACAAAAAAGTACGCAGTGTAGTAAAATATTAACCTAAATTTTATTAACCTCAATGTTGTATAATCAATTTTGTGAAAATAGTTTAACCTCAATTATAAAAAAAAGTTAAGCAGCTACAAATATGTGAATAGCAGCAATGTTTTTGTCATCGAAAATTAAATTGATTTAGAAAATAATATTTTGGTCGATTTTTTTGACCCCTTACCCCCCCCCCCCCTCTGGCCTTAATTGATGAGGCGAGGAGGACCAGCTTCATGGGTTGGTTTCTGTAGCATTTCTAATTTTGTGTGGGATATTCCCATATCCTCCCAGGAAGCACTACATGAACTGTTCCTCGTTATTTGGTATGATTGTACTCATTAACTTAGCTTGGTTATCAGACGCGTAGTGGTGTATATTGTGTGCCTGACATAGTGCCTGACATAGTGCCTGACATAGTGCTGGGCCCTGTTTACCAACCTTTCTATTTGTCTTACTTATTTTTACCCTTGAGATTTGTAGTTAAGTCACATCGGTTGATAGTTTCAGTCATATGATCGAAATAGGGCTGACCGACCATTAAGAACCACTCTAATCTCGTTCCCACAGAGATCAGATCATGTCAGCAGCCCTCGCTGGCAAAGCTTCAAAATAGCGTTGTTTTCCTCTCTTGTATGTGAAGCTCATTAGATACTCTGTTGACCATGAGTGAGCATTAACAAACTTTAGATTTATTGGCAACCGCTATTGTTTCTACTTGCCCTTGTACAATGATTGCAGATCAGAGGCGACTTGAGTAATTAAGCGAAAGCAACCTTACACAATTTTAACAAAAATTCCTGAGATGCCAACAGTTTCCAACCTAAAGAACAATAGGCTCCCATAGACCGTATCCACTTGAGCTCAAACATTGTTTCATTTGGTAATACCACCATTACATCTTACATAATCTGTCAATGGCTACTTCTCTGGTGGCTCTTAGTTAGTTTGTTAAATACTTGATGACGTTTTGTATATTGGTCCGAGTGACAGTGTGTTAATTACCTGGCAGCCAGAAATAGTTTGGTAGCTATTAGTAATTACTGCACGCTTTGTTTAGTTACATTCGTGGAATGTAGACAAGCTTTTCTTCTCTTGGTTGAACTCGCAGCTGTTCGATACGTTGTCGTTATTTTCTTGTTTGGTTGGTTAGTGGTTTGCAAGTCTGATAACTTAAAGTCGTGTTAAATATGAGTCTAAGTCTACAACTGCCCTCTTTTCAGTTTTTCGTGCCTGACTTTTGCTATTGCAAGTTGAAAATATGTCCCTCTCGCTCTCGGAAATTGGCCCATTTTTTAAACGCAGCCGTATTTTAACAGTATTTTAGCAAATATTCAATATAATTAACATGAAGTAGCACGTGATAGTCTGAAGAAGCGGCCCCCTGGTACACGTTACAAAGGCCCCATTCTAAACCTTACTTTGAGCACCTCCTCACTTCAACGCCCCTTTTTGGGATTTGAGCGGCAATTTAGATTCGATGAAAAACGATACGAAAGGTGAAAACCCAAATATTTAGGATTAATGTGAGTAGCTGGCCCGGGGTCTGATCACGCTTCCTACTCGTCGCCATGGTTACTCTCACTATGTAGTTGGGTTATATGTTCGCGCACTCGTTGCCATGGTCACCTCACGAACAGTTTGCAAAGACCGACATTGTGAGACACTCACCTATTTGGTGTATTTCCAACGCTTTCTTGAAGGAATTAGGAGGTTGTTACAATTATTTAATAGATTAAGTTTTTAAACTATTCATTACTGTTCAAGTTTTCGTGCTGTGAATAACGTTAATGTTCAAATTTAAGAGAGGTTTTTCTTAAATAAAACAACGAACTTTCCACTGTAATACTTATCGACTTTCAATACCTGACCCCGACCACACTACCTAAACACTTTTCATTCTGAACCGGCTCATCCTGGACTTTCAACACTAACACCCTCCTCCTCAGACTTCAGAGACTAGAACATCTGTTTGCTCAACACTAACACCCTCCTCCTCAGACTTCAGAGACTAGAACATCTGTTTGCTCGACACTAACACCCTCCTCCTCAGACTTCAGAGACTAGAACATCTGTTTGCTCGACACTAACACCCTCCTCCTCAGACTTCAGAGACTAGAACATCTGTTTGCTCGACACTAACACCCTCCTCCTCAGACTTCAGAGACTAGAACATCTGTTTGCTCGACACTAACACCCTCCTCCTCCTCAGACTTCAGAGACTAGAACATCTGTTTGCTCGACACTAACACCCTCCTCCTCAGACTTCAGAGACTAGAACATCTGTTTGCTCGACACTAACACCCTCCTCAGACTTCAGAGACTAGAACATCTGTTTGCTCGACACTAACACCCTCCTCCTCAGACTTCAGAGACTAGAACATCTGTTTGCTCAACACTAACACCCTCCTCCTCAGACTTCAGAGACTAGAACATCTGTTTGCTCAACACTAACACCCTCCTCCTCAGACTTCAGAGACTAGAACATCTGTTTGCTCGACACTAACACCCTCCTCCTCAGACTTCAGAGACTAGAACATCTGTTTGCTCGACACTAACACCCTCCTCCTCAGACTTCAGAGACTAGAACATCTGTTTGCTCGACACTAACACCCTCCTCCTCAGACTTCAGAGACTAGAACATCTGTTTGCTCGACACTAACACCCTCCTCCTCCTCAGACTTCAGAGACTAGAACATCTGTTTGCTCGACACTAACACCCTCCTCCTCAGACTTCAGAGACTAGAACATCTGTTTGCTCGATTCTCTCAGAAGTGTGACAGCTTAGCAGCGTGGATCACTGAGACTAAGGCTTTCTTTAAGAAGGATAATATCGCTGAGGCTGACCTCAATGAATTACTGGTAAAATAACTGTTATTATAGTTCGAATGTTATATATTTTATAGCTTTTCTCTCAGTTTGTTAGAATTTGTTGGCTCTCCGTGAAGTAGTGTCATCCATATTTATTATTTAAGCTGCAATTTAACTGTATTTCAACATTGTCCTATAAACACAACCTGTGGCTGTTGTCAGCGGCTAAGTGGTTTCAAAAGCATTTGTTTTTAGCTTTAAACATGACTCCTTCAGGGTAAAATCAAGAGTGATGACGCTTTTGACACAGACATGGGAATACACAGGGAGCGGCTGGATCAGATAGCTAACCTAGCACAGGACATGGTACAGCAGGGATTTAGCAAGGTGTGTTTTTTACTAGTAGGCTTTACTAGTAGACTTTTTATAAACTACTTTCCAATTTTGTTGACGTTATTCGAATATTTGAAACGTTTTGATAATATTTCAACAGTGTTTTTAATTTTTTAGACCGTTTATAATTTGTTGGTACTTTTAATTTAATATTCTTTTAATAAGTTATCTATTTAATTTTCTGAATTTTCCTTTTAGTGTTGGATTCAGTTCTACCCGGAATATTTAGGTGTATTATCTTGCTCATAAATACCATACATCATTTGGGCGCTATATTAAGAAATTACCACAATCACGTGACAGGCTATGTAGCATTCCATTCTTACCACGTGGTGTTGCATACAACTCAATCAGAACGTTCTTTCGCCCATATCCGTCGCCTTGGACTATTGTTATTGAGTACATCTACAGTGTTATCCGTTCAACCCATCTGTCGTAAAGCAATCGTCTTAGCAGCGTCAGAGCCGCACCCAAAATATTTGAAGTCTGTTCGTTTTTAGTCTGCAAATACATCATTAATCCTTTCTGGAAACAGCAGCAGAATATGTTATGTTGTCCTTTTCTGTTTGAAGGTCTAATTGACTACGCTTCTGGGGTGTTTAGTTGTCTTACGTTTTGTAGCGAGGTTATCTCTCGCTTTGGGGATCTTGCTACAATGCCTTCTTCGTGGGTAAGACTCTTAGTAACAGGTCCTTGTTAATTACTGTAATTGTGGTGTACAAAATATTCTATACAATACTCCTTACAATGTTATACTAAGTTGAACGATCGGGCAATTGCTTATATTATAGCTATATATTATAGCTAAACCTACAATATAATAAGTAAGCTTTCTTTGGAACTGGCCGTTAATAATAGGGATACCGTTGCTCGTTGAATCCTGGTAGAAATCAGATGGATTAAAATATATTCGGACTTGTTATTCGTTTTGGAGCTACACAAATGACAAATTATGATGTCAGTTGTAGTTCAGTTCGAGAACATTCAAGGTCTCAATCAGGATATTGGCTAAGGACCATTCAGGATTAAGATTCAATACAGTCGGTATTAAAATGGTTATCACATTACCCTGTTCAGACTTTATTTATACTTTGTTTGATCTTGTTTACGACCTTCCTACTGAGTATTGAGTAAGAGCATTACATAGTAATACAATATACATGCAACATTACGTATTAACTTATATCTGTATATCTACATCTGTACAATTATTTTATTACATTTTCATTTTTCAATAATTTAAATTTGTATTCTAATTAAGAAGATACTATTTATACCAATCATTCGTGCCCTAACATATCTGTTTAATTTGCAGGCAGCAGAAGTTGCAGCCCGATCGCAAGCAATGAACGGACTGTGGGAGAACCTGCTGGTAGCAAGAACAAAACACAGAGAAGACCTGGAAACAGCCAGGGAAACTCAGGAGAAGATAGATACGATGAGACTAGAGTTCGCAAAGAAAGCAAACGTAAGACATAGCTGAACTAGGGAAGGGACTTCAGTGCTCATCGTTTTGCTACATATTCTCTCTTCCCTATTTTGACGATATTCTCTCTTCCCAATTTTGACGCTTCTTCGAGCAATACAATGTTCCACTGTTCTTCTGTATTTTAAAGTTTTAATCTTCTTCAGCCGTTCAACAACTGGCTAGAAGGAGCTCGAGAGGATCTGCTAGACACGTTCGTGTGCCACAGTATTGACGAGGTTAACTCTCTAGTTACTGCTCACGAAGAGTTCAAGGCTTGCTTACCTGAGTTCCACCAGATCTTCCTCGATATCCAGGTAATTACAACATTTTACATTACACCTATTTAGATAATAATACAGATTCAGGCAATTATCAGGTAATTTTCACACATACTCATTGTCAGATTGTCATTGGTCACTTGTCAGTTGTCGGTAATCTGTGTGCACAATCTGCACATAGTTCCATTGGTATAATTATGAAAACAAATAAAACTCCAGGACAATTAAGAGATCTGTCCAAAATCTAGAAAAAACGCTTCCAATTTCACCTCTTAGATGACGAAGTGTTGAAAAGCTGAAAGCTAAAACCAGTTAAAATCACGTGTTAATATCACGTGTTAATATCACGTGTTAATATGACGTGATCTCCCCAGCAACTGCAACAAGAAATAGACGTTGTGGCCACGTTTGGAAGCAACCCCTACACCAACCTTGAGGTGGATAGTTTGGGAACTAAGTGGAACGAACTTCTCCAGCTCATTCCACAGAGAGATCAACTCTTGCAGGTTATTACCAAACCCTTTTTACATTCCCACTTTAGACCGCTCATGATGATATCATGATAATTGTTCTTCACAAACCTCTAGATTGTCTTGTCACGTGGTCTGTAAACTTGTGCCAGCTGAAACTAATCGTTACTTCTCCAGGACGCTTTAGTAAAGGAGAAGAAAAAAGACGAGCTCAGGAAAACTTTCGCTAATCACGCTAACTGGTTCGCTAACTGGACCGCAGAAGAGCAAACTAAGATTTCTGAGAGCACAATGGGTCCTGATCTGTCTCTCAACGAACAACTTGCTTATCTTGGTACTAATCTTCACCCGTTCAATTTTGAACATTAATCATATTCATAGTTACGTAATATCCGGTCGCATATACGGAATTGTCAGAAGTTTGTATCAGAAACAATTATAATAACGTTTAGGAACCGTCTTGTCTGACCACTCTGGTTCCTAATGTTCCTAATGGTGTTACAAATTGAGTTATGAGCACCTTTAATAACAGAACCTTACCTTCAGGTGAGTTGTTGGAAGAGGTAGAGGGGTATAAGCCTCAGTACGAGGAGCTCGAGAATCTGAACAAGATGATACAGAACGAGGTTATCTTTAACAACCCTTACTGCAAACACACTATGGAGAGCCTTAACGTCAGCTGGGAGGAACTTCACAACTGTGAGTTTTACTTTTACACTGTTTTACTTTCACACTGTTTCACTTTGGTGCTGTTTCACTTTCACACTGTTTCACTTTCACGCTGTTTCACTTTCACACTGTTTTACTTTCACGCTGTTTCACTTTCACGCTGTTTCACTTTCACACTGTTTCGCTTTCGTGCTGTTTCACTTTCACGCTGTTTCACTTTCACACTATTTCCCTTCCACACTGTTTCACTTTCACACTGTTTCACTTTCACATCGCCAGGGCCAGGGTAGCTCATGAGATTTGTGGCGTATGTATCTTGCCACACGAATTATTAATCAATAACGGAAATCTAGAATATTCTCAATGTTGTAGACTACAGTCTCCACTCTCAACTCTTATATTCTGTACACATAGGATATTGTATGTGCTTTTAGTCTTTCGTAGGTTTAGTTGTAATAATAGCTCTCTTGTTCTAGTAAATTAAAGAAGTGATATTTCAGAATAGGAACTCTTTTTTGACGTTTTTAAGACTTTATTCCGTAATTTGCGTTGTCCAATTTGTCCCCGTTCGTAAAATTTCTGTCAATAAAGTCCATTACACACACCGCTAATCAAGGTAAATATATATAAAGATGTAACAATATAATTACATCTGTAACATTGCATCCTGTATGCTAATAAATAATTATTATTACATCATAGGATCGTGTCCGGAATGATGTACGACAAATAGACAATTACAAATGAAAACACAATCTTTAGTGCTCCGTTCTAGTAATTTTCTGTCCGGCTTCGCTAAATTTCAAGGTTATTGGGAGCCAAATTACATTTTCTAAAATGATACTGTAAATTAGTTGGAGTCGTAGTTTGCTTCTCTCTCCCGATGTATTTCGAAGTGAAGGAAGCAAAATGGGTGTCTGTGCAGGCAACCTTTGCTTTACTTTGATCATTATTCCTCTGATCTGTGTTATATGCGCGACCCTTGCAATTGACACAAGTATTTTGTCACTTTATTGGTAGTTTATTGTGTTTTAATCGTACCTTTGTATAGTCAAGTGTGGTAAGGTACTACACAAGGTCTGTGGTATGTTCCTCCGTAAATCAGGTGAAAAGGAAAACGCTTTTAAAACTTCTATGCAATTTTACCGACAATTTACGTCTGAGTTTATGTCAAAAATGTCCGCTAATCCGACAATTTGGAGGCTTTAACGAAAGTGTTCTAGTTATGGTACTGTACTCTTATTAGGACTTATATTACGACAATTATTCCCAAAAACGGTACGAAATGTTTTGTAGCTAGTTCATGATTATGTAACCTGCCCGATGCATTCGTTTAACTACAAATATATAACACTCGTAATTACATAATACTAACGTTAAGATTTGAGTTCACATATTAATTATCAGGGAGGGTTTAAAATATTTGCCGTGGGGTTTAGCAACCTTATAATGAAAAGCTACAAGGGATGGATGATATTTATTGCTCATGATTAACGACTGTGCTCTGCCAATTGCATCACTTGATTTAATTTATTGTATGTATTATATACTGTTACACTCCCTCAAAAAATTTAAGAATGAAAATAATACAGTTTTCATGGTAATTTTTTCATAACTAATTTTTCATTATATGGTTTCCACATTTATTTAAATTTAAACTTTCTGGATGTGGGTATAGCTTCATTCAAATCAAACCTGCTTATAAAAACTTATTTCAGCCGTGGCCCGACAAAAGAACGCCGTGGAAAACCAAATCCTGGTCCGCGACAGCAAAGGAATCAACGAGGAGCAAGTGAAGGAAATGAAGAGTGCGTTCGATCACTTCGACAAGAACGACGACGGTAGATTAGATCACTTTGAGTTTAGAGCTTGCCTTGTCAGTTTGGGTTACAATGTTGATACTGAGGAGCATCTTGTAAATCACAATGTAAGTTATATTATCTTATATTATTATTCTCAACATCTATATTTTAGTTTCGCTTTTGTTGCATTCTTACTTAGCTTATATCTTACCCATTTCTATGATATGTCAGAATTTCCTTTTCTGCTCTTGCCATAGGTATATTAGTTAGATAAGGACGTTGTTAAATATAACGTTACACCATATTACAGGCAGATAATGATAGACACAGTGACTTTGAAAGAGTGCTCCAGATGGTAGATCCTGATATGACCGGTCAGGTCACATTTAACGCCTTTATGGATTTCATGACACAAGAAGCTAGCGATATGGACACTGCTGAACAAATCATTGCTTCCTTTAGAGTACTCGCTGGAGACAAGGTTTCTATTTTTAATTCGTACATTGTATATTGTTAATGGATGGCAAATTTTACAAGAAATGAATCATCACCTTAAACCTTTGAGTCAAAATATGCAACTGAATTGATTAGCTTTTTACCCGGGCTGCGACTTTACGAGCGGAACATCTGAACAATAACCCTCCTTTTAGCGGTACATCACCCCGGAGGAGATCAGAAGAGAGTTGCCGGCCCACCAGGCAGAATATTGTATTGCCAGGATGTCACCTTACGAGGGACACGACGCAGTGCCCGGGTCTCTGGACTACATGTCATTCGCTACCGCGCTCTACGGACAAAGTGATCTGTAATCTTGTGAAGGTATGATATAAAGTATAATAATTAGCAGCTTATTATTAGGAGCTGAGTCTCGTTCTTTTTCTTTGATTTGCTGAGAGTGGCGGTCTCTAAGTCTCTAAGTTTGTTCGCCTCCAGACGGCGGCGGCATGATGAAACCCCCATTTAACAGTGTTATCTTACAGGGTACAAGAAACTGTAGAGTCTGTTAAATTGTCGCTGTCTAAAGTTGAAGATGGAGCCCCTCGAGAGAGAGAAAGACGAGCTTGTCTTAGGATTAGAATGCCTGAATTATCCAATGATGCATATTTTGGAGAAACTGAATCGTGCGACAGTTTCACCTCCTGATATATGAACAATTAGGTAGTTTTGATTGATGATTTGCCAATTGCCATGTTGACAACGTACTCGCAATAACGCTTATCTTATATATGCATTATATAATATTATCAAATCATATTTATTTTTTTGAGTGTGTTATGTATGGGTTATTTCAAAACAGAATTTATACTTCAATATTGAATATCGTGGATTTCTCAATATATTATTGGGGGGGGTGTCACGTCCGTCTATGTCCGCTTGTCTCATAGAATCCAAAAAGGACAGGACATAGGCGGACATAGACGGACATAGGCGGACATAGGCGGACATAGGCGGACATAGACGGACATAGGCGGACATAGGCGGACATTAATGGACACCTAAATTGCTAAATAAAATGTTCAATTTTTGCTGTTATAGGGGGATCATGTTTTTTGTCCGTTCGGTACCCTATATTTTCAAAACGGACAAAAAATAGAGCGGACAAAAACGGACAAAAATGGAAATAACATTTAGATGCTTCCTCCTCCTGAGTCCTCCTCCTGGGTCCTCCTCCTGTGTCCTCCTCCTCCTCTTCATCCTCCTCCTCTTCCTCCTCAGTCCTCAGTCCTCCTCCTCATCCTTCTCCTCAGTCCTCCATCCTCCTCCTCAGTCCTCCCCCAGTCCCCCTCCTCCTCCTCCTATTCAGTCCTCCTCCTCCTCCTTCTCAGTCCTCCTCAGTCCTCCTCCTCCTCCTTCTCAGTCCTCCTCAGTCCTCCTCCTCCTCCTCCTCCTCTTCCCTCTCAGTCATCCTCCTCAGCCATCCTCCTCAGTCCTCCTCCTCCTGGGTCCTCCTCCTCCTCTTCATCCTCCTCCTCTTCCTCCTCGGTCCTCAGTCCTCCTCCCCCTGGGTCCTCCTCCTCATCCTTCTCATCAGTCCTCCTCCTCCCCAGTCCTCTCCCAGTCCCCCTCCTCCTCCTCCTCCTATTCAGTCCTCCTCCTCCTCCTCCTCAGTTCTCCTTAGTCCTCCTTCTCATTTCTCCTAAGTCCTCCTCCTGAGTCCTCCTCCTCTTCCTTCTGAGTCCTCCTCCTGAGTCCTCCTCCTCCCTCTCAGTCATCCTCCTCAGTCATCCTCCTCAGCCATCCTCCTCAGCCATCCTCCTCAGTACTCCTCAGTCCTCCTCCTTCTCAGTCATCGTCAGTCCTCCTCCTCAGTCCTCCTCAGTCCTCCTCCTCCTGGGTCCTCCTCCTCCTCCTGGGTCCTCCAGCCTCCTGGGTCTTCCTGATCCCCCCCAGTCCTCTTCCTCCTCCCCTCCTCAAGCTCAGTCCTCCTCCTACTCTTCCTCCTCGTCCTCAGTCCTCCTCATCAGTCCTCAACAGTTCTCCTCCTCCCCAGTCCTCCTCCTCCTCCTGGGGCCTTTTCCTGGGTCCTCCTCCTGGGGCCTTTTCCTGGGTCCTCCTCCTGGGTCCTCCTTCTCCTGCTCAGTCCTTCTCCTCCTCAAACCTCTTCTTCCTCTTCCTCCTCCTCCTCCCTCTCAGCCATCCTCCTCAGCCATCCTCTTCAGCCATCCTCCTCAGCCATCCTCCTCAGTCCTCCTCCTTCTCAGTCCTCGTCAGTCCTCCTCCTGAGTCCTCCTCCTCCTCAGTCATCCTCCTGAGTTCTCCTCCTCCTCCTCCTCCTCCTCCTAGGTCCTCCTTCTGGGTCCTCCTCCTCCTCCTCCTCCTGGGTCTTCCTGATCCTTCTCCTCCCTCTCAGTCATCCTCCTCAGCCATCCTCCTCAGCCATCCTTCTCAGCCATCCTCCTCAGTCCTCCTCAGTCCTCCTCCTCCTCCTGGGTCCTCCTCCTCCTCCTCCTCCTGGGTCCTCCAGCCTCCTGGGTCTTCCTGATCCTCCCCAGTCCTCTTCCTCCTCCCCTCCTCAGTCCTCCTCCTACTCTTCCTCCTCGTCCTCAGTCCTCCTCATCAGTCCTCAACAGTTCTCCTCCTCCCCAGTCCTCCTCCTCCTCCTGGGGCCTTTTCCTGGGTCCTCCTCCTGGGTCCTCCTCCTCCTGGGTCCTCCTCCTCCTGGGTCCTCCTCCTCCTGGGTCCTCCTTCTCCTGCTCAGTCCTTCTCCTCCTCCTCCTCAGTCCTCTTCTTCCTCTTCCTCCTCCTCCTCCCTCTCAGCCATCCTCCTCAGCCATCCTCCTCAGCCATCCTCCTCAGCCATCCTCCTCAGTCCTCCTCCTTCTCAGTCCTCGTCAGTCCTCCTCCTGAGTCCTTTTCCTCCTCAGTCATCCTCCTGAGTTCTCCTCCTCCTCCTCCTCCTCCTCCTCCTAGGTCCTCCTTCTGGGTCCTCCTCCTCCTCCTCCTCCTGGGTTTTCCTGATCCTTCTCCTCCCTCTCAGTCATCCTCCTCAGTCATCCTCCTCAGCCATCCTCCTCAGCCATCCTTCTCAGCCATCCTCCTCAGTCCTCCTCAGTCCTCCTCCTCCTCCTGGGTCCTCCTCCTCCTCCTCCTCCTGGGTCCTCCAGCCTCCTGGGTCTTCCTGATCCTCCCCAGTCCTCTTCCTCCTCCCCTCCTCAGTCCTCCTCCTACTCTTCCTCCTCGTCCTCAGTCCTCCTCATCAGTCCTCAACAGTTCTCCTCCTCCCCAGTCCTCCTTCTCCTCCTGGGGCCTTTTCCTGGGTCCTCCTCCTGGGTCCTCCTCCTCCTGGGTCCTCCTTCTCCTCCTCAGTCCTTCTCCTCCTCCTCCTCAGTCCTCTTCTTCCTCTTCCTCCTCCTCCTCCCTCTCAGCCATCCTCCTCAGCCATCCTCTTCAGCCATCCTCCTCAGCCATCCTCTTCAGTCCTCCTCCTTCTCAGTCCTCGTCAGTCCTCCTCCTGAGTCCTCCTCCTCCTCAGTCATCCTCCTGAAATCTCCTCCTCCTCCTCCTCCTCTTCCTCCTAGGTCCTCCTTCTGGGTCCTCCTCCTCCTCCTCCTCCTGGGTCTTCCTGATCCTTCTCCTCCCTCTCAGTCATCCTCCTCAGTCATCCTCCTCAGCCATCCTCCTCAGCCATCCTTCTCAGCCATCCTCCTCAGTCCTCCTCAGTCCTCCTCCTCCTCCTGGGTCCTCCTCCTCCTCCTGGGTCCTCCAGCCTCCTGGGTCTTCCTGATCCTCCCCAGTCCTCTTCCTCCTCCCCTCCTCAGTCCTCCTCCTACTCTTCCTCCTCGTCCTCAGTCCTCCTCATCAGTCCTCAACAGTTCTCCTCCTCCCCAGTCCTCCTCCTCCTCCTGGGGCCTTTTCCTGGGTCCTCCTCCTGGGTCCTCCTCCTCCTGGGTCCTCCTTCTCCTGCTCAGTCCTTCTCCTCCTCCTCCTCAGTCCTCTTCTTCCTCTTCCTCCTCCTCCTCCCTCTCAGCCATCCTCCTCAGCCATCCTCCTCAGTCCTCCTCCTTCTCAGTCCTCCTCAGTCCTCCTCCTGAGTCATCCTCCTCCTGAGTCATCCTCCTCAGTTCTCCTCCTCCTCCTCCTCCTCCTAGGTCCTCCTTCTGGGTCCTCCTCCTCCTCCTCCTCCTGGGTCTTCCTGATCCTTCTCCTCCCTCTCAGTCATCCTCCTCAGTCATCCTCCTCAGTCATGCTCCTCAGCCATCCTACTCAGCCATCCTTCTCAGCCATCCTCCTCAGTACTCTTCAGTACTCTTCAGTACTCTTCAGTACTCTTCAGTCCTCAAAATGTTTGCCTGCTAATGTCCACCAATGTCCGCTAATGTCCATCCAAGTCCGCCAATGTCCGTCCGGGTCCGCCAATGTCCGTCCGAGTCCGCCAATGTCCGTCCGAGTCCGCCAATGTCCGTCCGAGTCCGCCAATGTCCGTCCGTGTCCGCCAATGTCCCAAAAAACACGTCCGTTGTCTCATAGAATCCAAAAAGGACAGGACATAGGCGGACATAGACGGACATGACACCCCCCCCATTATTTGACCTGTTCAACAAATTTACAGTTATGTGATAAGACAAGCATCGAAAAGTTGAGATTTGATACTTTATGTAAATGGTTTTGTCCTTGAGAAGTGATTACATTATAATCAGTGTTTGCTCGGTATGAAAATGTTTACCAGTTTTTGGTCATTTCTTTTAGGTTTTTGATACCCTGCGATTTTATGTGGAATTTGATGAACGACTCAAGAGTCACGTGATTTTACCTGATTGAGGTATATCTGTGGAATTGGGGAGGTTATATTGGGTGCCATAACTAGGATTATTTAGATCATGATTATTTGATTTTCTAGAAAACCTGGAGCAAATGAATGATACATATTCTCTGCCCAAACCATTAATTTTTGTGTCCCGATATGATATTTTGCGTTAAGATTAAATAATTGAGATTTATTATCCTATCATGATGATGTTGGATTGGTATCACGAACACTTCATAGATCTTGTTCTTAAGATGTGCAGGTCCTGTCGCCCGATCGTGTGATATTTCAATCCTTCTTTGCGTGTAGATACAGTGAATTTTTATCGAATAATTATGTGAATTTAATAGTAATTTAACTTGGAACTTTGTTCAAATTATAGTGTCTTCCTTTTATCACTGTTCGCTTTTCAATAGGTACGCAGAAAGTTAAACAGATCAGCTGTTATCTTCAAGGTCATTTCGCTGAACAGTGAACATCCCACCAATTCTTCTCAATATTTGACAAAAAATAACACGTTGAGACCTCGACTAATTTACAATAGTTGGGTGCCTCGCGACCCAGGAGAGTACTGAGGACACGCCGGTATGCGAATATGGAACAACTTGTATATATTTATAATAACGGGTGTACGGGGTGATACTCTTAAATACAAAATATTTGTCTCAACTGGGCGTGCGTCTTGGTAGGTTATAAACTTGCTACAAGTAGCCTAAAGCCTCTCTTCGCGTGCGAAAACAGAAAAGGAGTTACACATTACTTATACTTGTAGGTTTACAACCTACCAGGACGCGCGCAGAGTTGGACTCGTCGACGGTCCTGGAACAGATATTTTACGAGTACCACCCGTTAACACATTATTACGTGTTATGTATCAATCATGACATATAAATCAACAAATGTGACTGGTCTAAATTAGTTCAAAGTATGAAGTAGCGCGCCACTTGTAGCGCGATGCACTACTGGGTCGCGCGCGCATCAAATAATGCTTCTCGCCGATCGGTAGATCGGCGAGATGCACCACTGTGCCTCACCGAGCTGCGAAGGATTGACATCGTGAATCAACGCGCCACTTGTTTTTGTTTCTTTTAACATTTTATGTTAACACAGCCTTTGGCCGTGTAGCGCTATACACTACTGGGCCGCGCCGCGCATCTTCTCGCAACCGTATGTTACCTGGGGACCTCAGTCTATCATGTTCATAAACATATTAAAGAATAGAGAGTAGGCGAAATGACAGGCTGAGCGCGGCCCAGTAACTCGGTTAAACACAGTGGTGCATCCCGCCGATCTACCGAGAAGCATTATTTGATGCGCGCGCGACCCAGTAGTGCATCGCGCTACAACATACAACCCTAATCCCAACCCTAACCCTAACAATAACCCCGAAGCTATCCATAAGCTATCCGTAATCCTTACCACAACCCTAACCCTAACCAGAGCCCTAATCGAATTTATGTTTTACTTGACCATTGTTAATGATTTGGCCCGGCGCGCGCTACTTCGTAGCACTTGCCATCGAGAAGAAAGCGGCGCGCGCTACTTCGAAGAAATTTAGACGAGTAACATCCGTCAAATGTTTTACTAGCTTTTTAAAAAAAATATGTTTTTAGAGAGGCTGGGCCTTGTTTACCTGCACGAGAGGATAGCATATGGATGCGTTGCCTACCTCTGGGTTGACATACGTTGCATGCCACTTTTCGCGCGCGAAGCGCGCGCCGCCGAAGCATGTATCAACCTTTGGGGTATGGCAGTCCTGTGGGAGGATGCCAGTGGAATCAAGATGTGTAATCAAGGATGATGGTAAGTGTTGTGAGGTGTGTCATAGATAAACGCTTAAGTGGTGGTTGAGTGTGGAAGAGAGGGGCAAAACAAGACGGCGTTAAAATAGTCGCTATGTTACACCTGTCTGGTCCAACAAGCCTGTCTGGTTTTACTAGCCTGTCACGTGACCAAAACTGAAAACGGTTTTTTGCCCATAACTCTCCAGGGTAGCATTTTTACCATACGTCATGGGGGTGATTCGGAATCAGCGTCCAAAAATACACCGATCGTGATTAATAACACACCCAAAGGGCCTTTTCACGTTTGACTACAAATGGCAGCGTTTGATCGAAAACCTGGTTTCAGCCTCCCTGTGTCTGTGAAGCAGATCAGAGCAACGATCGACGATGCGAAGCAAAAATGCGAAGAAAGACTATGCTAGGCGTTGAAGCGGCGAAGTCCTCCAAATGTGGGAGAGGAATAGGAAAATGTGCATTTTGTAGTATGCTTCCTTCAACTGTATGAATCTTTTCGTATGTTTATAACCTACCAAGACCTATTTGCACCCCAATTAAGTCGTCGAATTTACTGTTACTAAATAATTTGGTTACTGTGGAGAAATTAATATAAGTAGAAATTGTAAAATTTATACTCAAAAGTGAAAATTGGACAGGGGAAACACAAAATAATAGTTGTATTTTTAATAAACAAACCAAAACTAGTAGTATATAAAACTATATATAGTTTTATATACTACTAGTTTTGGTAATTTGCAAATACTTATATATAAGTATTTGTAAATTACAGAAAGAAACATTGCAAATTCAAGATAAGTTAAACAGGAGATAAGAACCGTAACAATATCATACCATCATCATATCATATCAAAGCAAGTTTTCAGGTCCGAATTACAGTGTACCCAATTTCTTCTTTAATGGTAATAGTGTGGCAGAGATTAAACGTTAAATGGAAATGAGTCTCATGCTTTATTTCTGCAGTGACCAATCTAAGACACATTAATGCAACACTGAAGGTGCACACCGTTAAGAGCCGTGTCATCACCATCGTTCTGTGGTCTCTCCACTCTGGTTTGCAGTCCCAAACTTACCCCAGGCTCCATCAACTGAATTTTCGTGCGGTAGTATTATTTTTTGTTTTGTGGATCTACAATTCTGTAATTAAAACAATTTTTTCATATATAAACAGGATGCCCTTATTGTATGGGACTAAACTCCTTAATTGATCTAATTTTATGATTAAACTTTGTTGAACATTATCAAATGGGATTGAAAACTTTTGAGAAAATGTTGCGATCTTATACCTGTGTATGGAGCTGTAGAGTAGAAGCTGATTACGTTATCAAATGTGAATGTTACTTTCTTCTTCTCCTTAGCCCATGCCTTGTACCAAAAGCTCCAACCAGTGCACACTTCTTTGGACGGCTCAAATGTTAGAAGTGTTGTTCCGTTACAGCTTATCTTTAAACCTTTGGATCCATATTTTCCTACCTCAAACACACGATTACCTGATTTATCTGGCTTAGGAATTTCAACTTTTAGCTGTTTGGTGGCTTTTGCAGTCAAACCTGTACATTCTGGCAGACCGTATTTAGGAGGACTGGAAAACTCTAGAATAAATCCTCCTGCATCGTCTCCTTTGGAGTCCTTGAAGTTTAAACGCAGCTGGTTTCCTTTTTCTGCATTTGTCTTCAGCAGTAGTTTTTTAGTTGATAAATCGATTTCCACTCCGCTGAAGTCCATGAACGGTTTCTTTATCCAATCTGAAAACCTGCTGTTAATAAATACTACTACATGGGATTTCAAAAATAATGTGTAAATTCCACAGTGAACAATGTCAACAAATCTTGAACAAACCAATCTCAAAATTGATCAGACCTATATTATCAAAATCAGAAAAACTAGCACATCCTGCATAGCGCATAAGTATTATAGGGCTAAGTTTTGATAAATTTACCTGAATCAGCCGCAATTTCCACTTGGCTTTGAATCGGCTTGTAGTCCCCTGCAGGCGAAGATGCTTTACAAAAACTTATCAAATAAATCAAGAATTTCTATGATCCCAGGCTTCCCTAGCTGTAATAAGCAACAATATATTAACTGCGTGAGTGGTACTATAACATGAAGTTACACTTTTAAACCTGTACATGAGCGCCTCTTACAAGACTGAGTCTCTGAACCGTTTCCAACACAATTTAAACCTCCGTTAACTGGAGCAGGGTTGTTACACGGCCTGGTTCTGGTCTGGTTACCTTCCCCGCATTGCACAGAACAGTCTGACCAATTCCCAAACTTACCCCAGGCTCCGTCAACTGAATTTTCGTGCAGTAGTACTACTATTTTTTAGATATAATATACAATTCTGTAATTAAAACAATTTTTTCGTACATAAACAGGATGTCTTTATTATAGGGTGATAAACTCATTAATTGATCTAATTTTGTGATTAAACAGTTACTATCGAATATTTTCGATGGTACTGAAGCTAAAAAACCAGCAACAAAAATGTTGTTGAACATTATCAAATGGGATTGAAAACTTTCGAGAAAATGTTGTGATCTTATACCTGTGTATGGAGCTGTAGAGTAGAAGCTGATTACGTTATCAAATGTGAATGTTACTTTCTTCTTCTCCTTAGCCCATGCCTTGTACCAAAAGCTCCAACCAGTGCACACTTCTTTGGACGGCTCAAATTTTAGAAGTGTTGTTCCGTTACAGCTTATCTTTAAACCTTTGGATCCATATTTTCCTACCTCAAACACACGATTACCTGATTTATCTGGCTTAGGAATGTCAACTTTTAGCTGTTTGGTGGCTTTTGCAGTCAAACCTGTACATTCTGGCAGACCGTATTTAGGAGGACTGGAAAACTCTAGAATAAATCCTCCTGCATCGTCTCCTTTGGAGTCCTTGAAGTTTAAACGCAGCTGGTTTCCTTTTTCTGCATTTGTCTTCAGCAGTAGTTTTTTAGTTGATAAATCGATTTCTACTCCGCTGAAGTCCATGAATGGTTTTTTTATCCAATCTGAAAACCTGCTGTTAATAAATACTTCTACATGGGATTTCAAAAATAATGTGTAAATCCACAGTGAACAATGTCAACAAATCTTGAACAAACCAATCTCAAAATTTAACGTTTACATTGATCAGATCTATATTATCAAAATCAGACAAAACTAGCACATTCTGCATATTGTATATTGCATAAGTACTATAGGGCTACGTTTTGATCAATTTACCTGTATCGGCCGCAATTCCCACTTGGACCATTAGAAAAACAGCTGCAAAGAATATCAGCAGCCTGCTCATAACTAATTCTACTGATATTGAGTACCTTGGTGCTCGTCAGACAAAACGTTAACAAAGTGACTGGCTAAGAAATTATTCTTTAATAAGTTTGGGCAGTCAAGGTGTATGCATTCTAATATGCATTCCAATGCATAGAAAAATCTTAATCTAATTTAAACGAAGAAATTCCAGCCAGATACTGGATTAAAGGAGTAAGCAATATAATATTATGCATTCCAATGCTTTGAAAAATCTCAATTATATTTGAATGAAGAAATTCCAGACGGTAAAATTCTTTTCTTGTTTATTTGGTAATTTCTCCCGAATAAAACAATCGTACTATGGAGGGAGTTCGAAGCATGAGCAACACCATAAAAAACACTATTAAAAACACTGAAAACACTGTAACGGCAGTATTAGATAATTATAAATATGATCATTCATATGTTATTCAACAACCTCAACAATGTTCCATTAAAAGGAAAATAAGAAAATTATCGTTGTGAGCACATGTTAGACATACCAATATGTTGAGCTAGAGAGTACAACGTTACTGTTCCAACCTCACTGTGAAATTTAACACCAAATTTGTTATATAGTACGTTTATTTCCATTCCAACCATCAACTACTACACCAAGTTACAGCAGGAGACATAGACAAATGCGCGAATATTTGCGGAAATCAGCTCAAGTATAAATAAGTGCGGAACTTGACAGTGCACTATTGTTATTCTTATCGCATTTTGCATTTACCCATTGTTTATTCAGAATACATAAGGTGTGTATAGTTATAATTGTATATTATATTAGTTTCTCTCGGCGGTACAAAGGGTGGCTCTGAACAGTCTTCGGCATGAAGCGGAGTTCACTAATTTTACATTTTACAAATGTTCCTATTATATCATGAGACAGAGAAATGGAAAACATGATTTTTCCATTTTGTCTGGGGTTTTGACTTCCAGTACCTCAAAATCACTTTGAGTCAAAGTGGTCTAATACCATCCTCAGTCAATTAATTGGTCACCCGGCAAAATTTTCATCAAATCTGTATATAACTTATTAGTCGGATCCCAACCGTTCTAAAAGGCCATTTCGTTAGCTTTTCGTGTTAATAGCGATTTCTCGACGATTATCACCTCTCTAGATGATGCTTAAAACATTTTTGCAATAAATGCAATATGGGCGTTTTTGGCACACCCTTTTTCAGGGTTTCACGGTCACTCGAATTTTTGTATTTCAGCCCAGGAAATTTGGCCGAAAAACGGTTTTTTAGCTTGACGCAGTTCATAATTTCCGTGATTTTTGGCATTTCCGCCTAGGAAGGTTGTAGCGACTATTCTGATACACCAAAATCAAAAATGTGCTTAATACTAATAGCCATATTTTAATACAACTTATGAAGCATTATATACCTTATAATGCTTATTTTCAGAAATGTTGCTGAAAAACGGATTTTTGCCGAGCGAACAATGACAATACTCACAAATGTGCTGACCAAAATTCAACTTCAAACTTTTAATTTATTTATGCCATGAAATCATGATATGTACCACGAATACTGGACCTAAATCCGTGCCAGATTGTCACTTGACCACTGACCAGTACCCCACTTTATAATTATAATTAACTTCGCTGCCTCGCTGGATATTGGTCTGTAATCCCTGGATTGAGATCTGTTGGCCGCAGTTTAATTTAGCTCATTTCTTATAATACCGCAGTGGTTTGGTTCCCACTTCAGGATGACTCCATGTTCTGTTTTTCAGTCGCATAGATTTTCCCATCGTATGATAATGCGTGTCATTCCCTCGTTTTTTAATCAAGTAGTTACTGCACTGGCTAGCTCTTTTGTTATTACAGCTGCTTCGAGATCTTATCTGGGGCTCTAATACTAGAACATTAGAACTGTAATTCTAGAACCTCAGATTAAGATTACTTGGCAGAAGACTTTGGCTGCCAGACAGTTGCGCCCAATCTAGATCTAGCTACCATGGGAAGATGACGAATCAAAACCAATTAAAAAACTGCTTGATCAGATACGACAGTTGCGCCCAATCGATATTAAAATCCCCCCAATTATAATAAAAGTAATCTTTATTCAATCAAAAATCGTACGATCATAACGATAGACGCAAAGCTACGAAGAATGGTTCAGATAGGACGGGATCGTTCATTATTTTTACCCTAGCAAAAATTGAGTTATCGAGGATAATATGCAATGAAATAGTGAATATATGCATTCTTCAGGGCGGACTGTAATATAGTATTCGTCCGAACTTTATTTTTAGATTTTGCACATTTATTTAATTTGTAATTTTACTCCCAGAGCTTAGACGTAGCAACCTGGGTAGTGGGTGTCTTCCACGAACAGTTTATGGTGTATTAAAAATGACTTAAGTACACATTTTTACCTAAGTTGCATGATTTAGTTCACAATTAGATATTTAAGTGCACTCGGGCGCAACTGTCATTTTGAGAATCTGACATGGCGAATAAGATCACGTCACTGATTGGAAAAATGTTAATGGCCTGTTAAGGTGTGGAAAACGGGCGCAGATGTCGCCAGGCCAATTTTTTAGGTGTTTCTGGACGCAGAGTGAGTCATCTTGCATCTTGTGACAAACGCTATGTTGCTCATGAGTCTTTAGGACCTTTCTAGTTACCAGTCCAATAGCCCATTTGTGAGTATTGTCATTGTTCGCTCGGCATAAATCCGTTTTTCAGCCACATTTCACAAAATAAGCATCATAACTCATAAGGTATATATTGCTTCTTAAGAGCTTAAGTTGTATATAAATATGGCTAGTAGGCACATTTTGGTCTATTGGAATAGTCTCTACGATGTGCCTGGGCTAAAATACAAAAATTCGAGTGACCGTGAAACCCTGAAAAAGGGTGTGGCCGAAAACACCCCTATTGCATTTATTACAAAAATGCAATAGTGGCCAAATGTTTAAAGCATCATCTAGAGAGGTGATAACCGTCGAGAAATCGCTTTTAACACAAAAAGCTAACGAGTTTCCCTTTCGTCTCGGACTAAAGTATTGGGTAGGTAATAGAATTCACATTCGTGTATTTACAGAAGAAAATGAAGAAAGTATAAATTTTAAACACGGTATCTTTTAAATCGTGTGTAATGTGTATACTGTATAGGTTAAAAGGCTCTTTTCAGTTTATCCTAAAGCATGATGTACAGTATAACAATAACCTGATCTAATCAATAAGACGATGAGTAAAATGACTGAGTGATCGAAAATGATTCGATTGAAATGAACTGGAAGAAAGTTGACAATTAGAATGCTTACAACCCTCAGATGCTGCAGATCTTCAACGAGTCGAATGAACAGGTTAGTTAGTTACCACATGTTACCACTAGTTACCACTAGTGCAGGTTATATTTTGTTTGTTCTTTAAAAGATGCTATTTTGAATGTTCTATAATAGATGCTATTATGATTGTTTATGATGTTATTGTTCTGATTTTGCTGTTTCTAATAGTTGTCCGATTCTTAGTTTTTTTAGTAAAACCGATGCCAATTACATATCCCTGAAATTAAACGAGACCTATTCCGTTAAATCAAAGTGCTTTTAGCTTGTGAATTGTTTATCAACTCTAGTTGAAGGCCATTTCCCATAGTAATGCACACAATAAGGTGTAACTATCAAATGTCTTCTGTTCTTTTAGTTACCATAGTTACCACTAGTTACCACTTTTTTTTCTTTTTGTATTGAAATCTTTCAATTATCATCATCAGAATTTATTACAATATCAATGTTGTATAGAATTTCTAAAAATGGACTAGAGAAACCAAAAAATGCCTTGACAAGTGTACATCGATGATAACAATCAGGGGACACCAATACACCCAAATAACCAAACAAAAGGCCTCGAGAGACCTGGTGAAAAGTCGAGCAATTACATTGGGCCCCAAGTGCAGAAGGAGAAAAATGGGCAAATAATATGAGCTGTGAACTTAGGAGGCATTTCTAGGTTTTTAAGAATAATTGCCACAACCCAAATTTATAATAATTACAATTGGCTGATTTGTAATATTTCCAATGGAATGAAGTTTTAACGATAAAATTTAAATAATTGAATATAAAAGACTAAATCAAAATTGTATCCGAATAAAGCAAAAATGTGTGATTTACTAGTTACTAGTTACCACTAGTTACCACTAGTTACCACTAGTTACCACTAGTTACCACTGCACTGGTTACTACTAGTTACCACTAGTGAACACTAGTTACCATAGTTACCACTGCGCTAGTTACCACTAGTTACCATAGTTACCATAGTTCTGTAGTAAAGGTTATTAACTTAACTCTCTTCTTCCAGATTGGTATACCTCACTGGTATTTTGGGAAGACAAAACCTAGATCTCCAACAAAGCTAATACCGCTAAAGAATAAAAACAAAGGTTAGTAATTACTGTAATACCGCTAAAGAATATTTTGTGATATATGCCTTCAGTAAACAGTTTATATACAAAGATTCCATGAAATTTGAGAAATATGTGATATTTGAAATATTATATGTGATATTTCATGATAAACATGATTATTTGTAAAACCCGCGTACTCTACCGGATGACCACATCTGCTGCAATTACACTACAATTACGCTACAATTACACTACAATTACACTACAATTACACTACAATTACACTACAATTACACTGCAATTACACTACAATTACACTGCAATTCTCTGTTAGACTAGTCTGAGATGGTGTGAGATGTGTGGTTACTATTTGAGATCGGATATAGTGCTTTAAGGGGGCAGGGGGGTCTTTATGAAATTTCTCTCGAAATTGATTTTATAGTTGATTCTAATAGAGGGGAGTGATATCTATCTGCTACTTTTAGTCCCATGGATAAATATTGTTCCTAGCCGAAATTATTGCCGGTCAAAGGTCAGTGCTCATGTGTAATTGTATTGCGCGAGCGATTTTCAATCGTGCGCCCTGAAAATCGAGTCTAAAAATCTATCTCCTCCTACATTTTTTGAGCAATCACCTTGAAACTTTCAGGATATGTTCTAAGGACCATTTAGAAACCATTTTGAAAATCTTGGACCTGGA